GCATATCCGCATTTCTGCAGCTGATTCCAAAACAATGAGAAGAGTGGCCACTTGACTTCTGGGGATTATGGGACGTTTCAGGAGGTCAATCACAGCGCAGTAATGCAACACCTCGTTCACACTGACACCTGGGCGTTTTAGCAGGGCTGCAGCAAGCTCTATGCTTCTTGTGGAGGTGGAGTATCAGGAGCGCTCCAGCTGCGGGGTCCAGGCGTTCTACATGCCTTGCCAGTGCAGACACATCGGGAGTTAGAGCGCCCTGGGCTGCTTTAATGTGCTCTAACTTGCAAGTGTAGCCAAGCCTTAAGTGACTTGCCCAAGGTCACACAAAAAGTCTGCAGCAGAGCAGGGAATTAGACTTGTGATCCCAGCTAGGCCCCTAATTCTGGACCATCCCTACTCTCTGCTCCTCTGTGGGAAAAAAAGTAGACAGTAAAGAGAGGAGTTGGAGATGATAAAATGGGGCAGAGGAGAGGAGGGGGAATAGTGAGCAAGGCACAGGAGAGGGCTAGAGATGAGAAAGAAAAACAGAGAAATGATTGCCTCCCTGCCGGGGGGGAGGGATAAAGTGTGGGAAAGGAGAAGGACAGTCATCAGGGAGAGTGAGTGGCAAGATTTAAGAGGAGATTTTATGGGTAGGGGGCCAGGGATAGAGTGTGCTCACTTTTGGTTTGTGCCTGGGATCCAGTCAAATCTCATTAGCACTAGGCACCGCCCTGGGGAGGCAAGATGAACTGGGAAACTGAGAACCTCATCAGATCCCAGGTCTGCTAGCAGCTCTGACTCATGTCTAGGGCCCACCTTTGGAATGTCCTCACTCTGGACCTGATGGAGTGATCCCTTAGGGCATGATGCTTGTACTTTGCTTAGCATTTCATTAACTGTAATGTGGTTTTGTTCTCCTTTTGTTTTCTCCTCTTGAATCACAGCCCCAGCTGCCACTCCAATAGGGCTAGAAATTAATCCAATAAAAATCTTTCCTTGTGGAATCAAAACTGCGTGCTGACGTTTATGTGATTGATTTATTCCAGACTATAAACTCATTTTGCACAGTCTACATTTCATGTAGCAAATAATAACAGCCCAATAATCAGGGTGATTTATAACCCTGATCCAAAATTGCAATTCACGTGAACGTCTGCCGTCTATAGAGTACATGGCCAAAGGCAGAAGCACAACACTGTACACAATCCTCCAGTGCAAACACTGATAGAACAACGAAAACGTTCCTCCTATTAGTTCCAGTCTTTGTTTTCATCGGGTTTTGATCAGCCTACTCTTGTGGGGTTTGACAGGTTAACCCCACACATCCTCGGCTGTGATCGAAATGATTAAACAGGGCGATTGTTTAGTCCGCAAAGCGTAAGGAATTCTTTTGTTTTTGGAGATCACTAAAGGCAGATCAGAACCCTCCATGAAGCTGCCGAGGAAAGAGGGACCCGGGGAGATGAAAGCAGCATTTCAATAGAAGGAGAGGTCATTCCATTCCTCCCCAGACTACGGAATCCGGGTTGGGATTGCTTTCTGAACTCTGTGTTGGGAGATGTGTGCGCAGCTCGGTGAATATATAAAGCAATATGTTCCTGTGTTCCATACCCACGCCTTTCCAGGGCCCCCCAGAGGATTCAGGGGACCTGGGACAAAAGCAATTTCGGGGGGGGGGGGCTTCCATGAAAAAGTTGCAATACTATAGAATACTATATTCTCGTGGGGGCCCCTGCGGCACCCAGGGCCTGGGGCAAATTGCCCCACTTGTCGCCCCTCCCCCAGCAGCCCTGCGCCTTTCAGACAGCTCAGTTGAAGTCAGATGGTTCTGCTCTGAGCCCCCTTCTAAAGAAATTAGACCAATTATTTCAGGGCATGGCAGCAATGCATTGTTTACGTGTTGCCTGCAGTTAGGGAAAGACTCCGTGGTCTAAACCCCACACGGAGTCCCAATCTGCCTTCACATTGGCTGCACGGTGTTCCCAGTGAAGCTCAATGGCGCACGGATCACAATATTCCCTCCTGACAAACTAGCCCATTTCCCCTCCATCGGGATCATCATAGGGTTGAAAAGGTGTGGGGTGAATCCACTCAGTGAGCCCTATGGAAAATGAGATTTACAACCTGGAAACTGTAGCAATTGTGGGGGCCGGAGTCCAATGGAGATTTACCTTCTTTCCAAGCGCACCTTCCTGCGGTGGAAACTAAGATGGTACACGCAGGATTCTCATGGGAGTTTCTTTCCGAGATCCGAAACTATCCTAAGCAGTCGGCAACCTGCCCCCACGTGGATGCCCTGGCCCCCCTGTGGGGTGGGGGGCATGTCCCTGAGTTTCTAGTGCTCTGTGAGCCGAGCCGCCAGCAGAAAGTCCGCGCATGCTCTAGGAACACTGACCAGTGTGTCTTTCACTTGGAGGTTTATGTCACCGATAAACCAGGTAGCGTGAGCTTGTGACTTTCACATCAAGCCAGGGTGAGGAAAGCGCTTTTGCGTTATTAATAGGACGGGTAAAGTAGGGTGGTTAGCTCAACCAATCCCAGGAGTCCTCTCCTTTTTTCAACGCCGAAGCCCATGGTTTTGCGACAAACAACCGTTTATTTAGCGGGACTGGATCAAAAACGGGGGGTTATTTAAGACCTGAGTTTCTTCCGCAGTTTCTAGATCAGATATCTGTGAGAAACAGGGTAACGGTGTGAACAGAGAATGAGGGTTTCACGGACCAACCCGACCCGAGTAGCTTTCTCTTTGACTAGATCTATCGATATCTAGACACATAGATATTTAACCGCAGACTGTCACTAGGCAATTTACCGGCCATCAGTCCAGCTTGATTGTTGGTGACACGAAATTAATGGTATAAAAATGTTTTCACTTTTTCTTCGGAGAAATTTCTAACACCAGACTTCAGTTTGCACTGGGCAGAATCCAGGTCCTAAAGTGTTGTGGCTTAGAAACCATCACACACAGCAGGCTTGATTTCCATATCAAAAGTAGATCGGGGAGGGTTTGGAAGCAGAAAGCTCAAGCCATCGGACATGAAGAAATGCCTGCTTCTAGAGTGCTCTGCGACTCCACAATAGTGACTTTATGCAAGAAAGCCAGTAAATTATTAATATCCTGCACAGCTATGGAAAAACCTCCAGTTGTCTGCTTCAAAGAAATTATGCGGTGTGAGAATCTCTATTAGTAACAATACGAACAATTTGCAAGAACATATGTCCCCACGTGAATCAATCAACCGATCTGGACTGTTTAACTAATATTTCAGAGACGGGTTTTTAAAACAGAGTTTCCGTATGTTTAATTTTTTAGCTGTACAAAGAATTCTTCTATAGTTTTTTATAACCTTGTGAATGGATTATCTCCAAGCTACGATACATTACGTTTGCTGGGAAGGTTTATACAATACAGTGATTGATATATATTGCCAAAAATCAAAACTGGTAGGAACAGACAGAAAGACATACAGAAAGAAAGGATATTCTGCCTCGCTCTACTTCTAAAGGGTCAAGTGGAACAAACACCCCATTGGAACTCTCTGAAAAACGATCGAATTCTGTATTAGACATAAAAATAATGCCTCTCAAAGCCTCTTCTGATTTATTCTTGATTATGCATTTAAAATACACTTCTTTCCACCGTTTCTCTTGTGAAGTGCGTGGGAGGCAAAACATGGTCCTGTTTTATTGACTGATTGATTTATTTATTTGTAAAGAATAAGAACGCCTCTCCTTCTCTTAGAATAGCGCTGCCTTCTCAGCAAAGTCTAGTTTCCTTTCCTGGCAGAGTTAATCCTAATTAAAAATAAATTACATGCTGTATAGAACTTGAAATGGAAAAGATAATCCTATTACATATGAGAATATATCCTGCTTCTCTTTCCCTCTAAACTGTGGGAGATATCAGATCAAGCTGAGCCACCCATTGTAAACTCTTTGAAAACTTTCCTATAGATCTAATCCATCACGTGACGGCCATGTCAATCTTGCTGTCTGCACGCGAGTTTCACAATGCTGGTATTAGGCAGAGTCAGAGAAATCCAGCTTTTCTGAGCCCACCACATTTGCATTCCGAGAAAATGCCAACCATTGTGGCCATGTTTGTTCTCATGATCGCGAGACAGTTGTCTGCTAAATTGCTAAGATAAAGAGAAAGGGACTCCTTTGAGACAGCCAAAGCCTTTTGGTATGATAACAAGGCGATTTGGGGCGCTTTTGTTGGACCAGATCAGCGCTGCGCGGATTTTTTTTCCCCCCGCTCTCGGTGAGGATTTGAGGGAGGCGCTGATGCGCTGTTTTAAATCCCATTTCCATAATCTGGCTGCTGCCCGCCAGGCTGGAGAATGCTGGCAATCCGCAGGCACCCGAGCTCACTTCACTCGCGTGCCATCACACCACTCGGGGTAATTACTCTTAACACAGCTCCTCGGCAGTAATTAGGAAGCTGGGCTTTGGGACGCTTGGCACGCCCTGCTGCTGAAAGGCAGCAAAGCGCCTTCCTCGCATTATACCAACTCGTTTTAGATCTGTCGGTTCGCCACAGCTTTGAGTCAGGTGCCTGAATGATCCGTGCCGTAGTGATTTCTTTGGTAGTTTGTGCCACTAAGAATTAGGACTACCGCAGCTACGACCAGATATGAGACTAAAGCAAATGTCATTCACTGGCCAAGCACACCCCGATTTCCGGATCAATGTGATTGTCAGATGTGGGGCCAAATTACCCTCTCATTTACACCTCCGAAGCCCTATTGATTTCAAAGAAGTTACTCCGGATTTACACCAGATATATCTGAAGCTGCCCAGTAATTATACCGGATTGGTAACTGTGTAATTGAAATCAGAATCCGGACTAGCGGGAACAGATTTTGGACCATTGTCTTCAATTCCCTTAAAAATAAACCAACTTTGTTCAATTTCCCTCTGGTCTTTTTTGCTCCAGTGAGGTCCTTTGTGTCCTCGGCTGAGGTTATGCAAAGGCTGTGAACACTGAGAAGTCGGTAGTATTAAAGCAAACTGGTAATTTAACTTGGCGATCAGATCTGGATGTCAGGAGAGGGCCTTTGTGGCTCACATGGAGCCCGATCCAACTTCCCTTGAAATCAATGGGAGTCTTTCCATTGACTTCAGGGGGGATCCGATCGGGCCCAGGGCGTGGCTCATGCGCACAGCTGGAACAAATGGACAGATGTTTCTATTCACTGTAAAGTACTAATACAAGTCAGCTTTGGCTGCATTAGTAACCAGCCCTTAAAAGCTCATAGGATGCCTGTTGTGACTAGGGCTGTATACAGATGTACATATAAGTACTGGCCAGTGACAAGTTCGTTGTCCTGCAGGGGTCCCATTAAGGCATGATCAGCCCCAAGGAGGAAGCCTCTGGTGACAGAGGGATTAGGGAGGACTCCAGCTACTAGAATCGGACATTCTAGTCAGACGGGCGGAGGGGATCGATATGTGTGGAACGTGGGCAAAGGGGGAGAACTATTGCAATCCGCGTGAGGGGAAGGTTACTAGCGAGGATGTCACGAGACCAATGTGCTGTTGAGGTAGATGCTTTGTATTTCCTATACACAATGCCTGCTGCAGCTGCTACGGCAATTGCTCTTTTTCATCCCTGAAATACACAGCGAAGGGATACAAATAAAGGGGAAGAGCACCAGGAGGCAGAGCGCTTCTGGGCAGCATTAACTCATGCCGCCTTGGGTCTGTAGACGTCTTTACATTTATAGATATACTCTGGTAAGGGCTCTCTTTCTTGCACATTGTAGAAAGCTTGGCGCTTGCCTCTCCCCCAATCTTGCAGCCTGATTCTGCTTTTTCCTACTAGCATGGTAACCGCTTGAAGTGCTCAACCGAGCGGATACTTTTTATACAAAGTTTACAGATCAAAACAGCACTCGGTTCAATTTAAAGTGCATAGTGTCTTTTTCTTTCCTCATCGCGCTACACAAAATCACGATGTACCAATTGCAATGTGTATTTCTGTTTCAGAATGTGACCTAAAACGTGGAATCCATTTAGGGGTCGGTCCCTCAGGAGAGACTATTGATACAATATTCTCTCTTCTCCCACTGACTTTATTTGAATGGTCTCTTTCACCAGGACCGTACCTGATATCAGGTACGCATTCTCTTTGCCCGCTATTCCCCCACAGTGCTTAGACCTAACATGAAGCTGGGGGGTGATGGGGGGACCCAATGAATGCACGTTGCATGCGCTGTCTCAGTATCCCCTCGGACTGCAGGACTAGTAAAACTTGGTGACTCGCTGCTATGTCTTCATACTTATCTAGGCAGATGGTTTAGTTCCCCAAGGTTCGTGCCAGGTTTCAACCTCATGCTGTTATTTTGTTCTTCTGGAACGAGACTAGTGTTGCTTCCCAGAGAGGCCCTATTAGGACAAAAAGAAAATCCTCTAAATAGGCGTAACAGGGCATCAGGAGGGATAGATCTTAAATGTATTTTAATATGAGCTGGGCATTGTGTGTAATTCAGCGCCCATCATCGTTTAGTCAAAGAGTTATGGCAGTGATTGGGAATGAATAGAGGGACATAATGGATACATGTGGCGTTTGCTCATTATATTCAACTTAGCCCAACTCCTCTGTGGAAACTGTTCAACTTTCTTTCCCTTTAGCTTGTCATAGTGAAATAATACAGACATTGGTGCCTCAAATGGGATAGCCTGCCATGCTATTATATTGCTACAGCTAACGAGAGCTTCATAAGCCTTTGATACAGTCTGATCTTTGAAACCTTTCCAAATCTCCTCAAGCTTATGCTAAATCCTATTTGGAACTTTTTTTTTTTTTGCCTGCTAGTGCCCAAGGCTTAAGAAAGCCACTTGGGCAGTGACATGCATACTAAAGCACGCTAGGAATATCTTCTGGAAGGCAAATTACAGGTCTGATCACAGGATCTCACGCGAGTAAAGCACAATTATGTGGACAAATTTGAATAAAATCAATTCTCAGTTAATCCTTCAATCTCGTTTAGGGGCTTGCTATGATTATCAATACAGAAATCAACGGAAAGAAAATCAACCCCCGCTATATATGCATTGTGCAACACTTTATTAATCGATAATCATAGGCAGACGCATAATAAATACACATTCACGCACACACAGCCCAAGCAAGCTATTTCTCTGCGTTTTTAAGTGACTAGCTCAGAAGAGCAGATATTTGCACACTAGGCACCTGTTCAACAGCAGGGTGCTGTAGTGGTACAATTAACAAAACACTCCGCGCATTTTACTCCACGCTCCCTGTGCCAACTCATTTGCAGCTCGCCTTCAAAAAAAAGAGTTAAAGAAAACAAAGAAGCGATTCCCTAATTTTCCTTTCTTGTTTTCCTCTCTAAGCCTTTTCCACATTAAAGGGATTTTCTGGGAGGCTTTCAGGAGAGCAGTGTGAAAAGAGTGCCTGCCATTGGCTGCTCGGCTCTGTAAAATTTGCATATCCGCGTCTATTAAAGGCCCCCAGGAGACGCAGTCCGGTTTAGAAGCTGGATAAACTGAGCCTGGCGCACCGGCATCGCTGGCACCTCTCGGGTTAGGGCAACTATAAGCAATCAGCTCATTTGCCTTGCAGAGCAGAACATGCATGATCTGCACCTGGGAGCAGGAGAGTTACCCTCCCATCTCCTCCTGCTTTAGGGGCAGACTCACTTCCCTAACAGCTGGACAACCGTTTCTCCGCATCTTCAGCCCCGTTCAGGTTAGCAATTCATTGCAGGTGACATGGGTCTTGATAGGGACAGGCGCAGCCTCGCCTCTCCGCCGCGCCTCGTCTACCTCTGCTGCCTGCTCTCGGTCACCTTCTGCAAGACGGTGAGATACCGCACTTACGAGGAGGACGCGCCGGGCACGGTCATCGGCACTTTGGCAGAAGAGATGCACGTGAAAGCGCCCGGAGAGATAAGTTTCCGCCTGATGGAGCAGTTCAGCAACAGCTCGCTGGTCCGGGTGCGGGAGGGGGACGGGCAGCTGAGCATCGGCGAGGAAGGGATCGACCGGGAGCGGCTGTGCGGCCAGTCCCTCCAGTGCGTCCTGGCTTTCGACGTGGTGAGCTTGTGGCAGGAGCAGTACCGGCTGGTGCACGTGGAGCTGGAGGTGCGGGACATC